TGTATTTGGGGCAAATGTGCAAGGGACCAAGGGGGCCATGATGTTTCTGTTACCGTAGCCAGAGGTCAAAAGCATCAGGTCTTCGAGCTCATCGTAGACGGGCGACGGCCATGTGATGGCAGCGTAAACATTGCTGATCCACTGTCCCCCGATGAGGCTGAGCAACAATCCCTCCCGCGGTATGAGCATTTTGGTTATGTTTGTACAAGTGGAATATAAACAAGAAACGAAATGTGTTTGTATAATAGATTTTGTGAGCGAACGGACAGGGAAATGGAGACCTGGGTAAAGCGAGTGATGACAGTTGGAGTTGGGTTAGGGGTGATAAATTCGAAAGAGAATGTCCATAAAAACCATCCTCAACCTACCCATGCGAGGTGAAGAGGCTGGGTGAGGACAATAATATATCACCGGAGGCTCTTTGGACTCCCATCTCCTGAATGTCTTCCAATGCGTGTGTGGTAATCTCAAATTTGGCAATTTCCATTTCCTAGATTTCGATTCGTCGGGATTGGTCCAGCATGTCGTGTCAGCGAGGCTGGCCAGACTCGCGTTGCTGGGGTATTGCCCAAAATTGCGCGCTGTCAACCTGAAAGTGGTGCCGCCGAGGACACAGCCGACAATGAGCAGGTTCTACCAGGTGTATGACCTGAGAAAATGCGCTCAACGACAACGCCATCATAAGGCCTAGGGGGTTTTATATGTGCTCTGATTGGTCACAACGGCTCGCCCGCCACGAGGTGGAAACATGGCTATAGATCCATCAATCTTGATCTCTTGCTTCCACTGTGAGACTTGGGGAGTTTGGGCGTGGTCAAGGGCCATTTTGAATCGCTTGGCTCGTACCTGGAGCGCAGACCGACGCCAGAGAGCAGTTCAATTTCTCCGTAGGCAGTGTGATATTTGATTATAGCTACACCGGACATCTCCTCTGGAGTTATTTATATCTCGTGCCGTTTGGAATCCCTAGATCGTGGGCACCGTAGTGAAACCAGTCAAAGGAGGCTAATAGAAGGCTGTCCAGATTGGTGACTAGTGAGTAAGCCGTGATTGGTCAAAGTATTACGACAAATAGCGACCCGGGAGGGAACAGCGAGAAGAGGATACATTCACACAGAGTGGAAGGCAAGATCAACGCTTTCTGAGGGCGCAAGGGTTCAGAAGACCGTTTCAGGTCAGGTGAAGGGACAGATAGCCGGTCCTTGGAAACAAGTCGAATTACAAGGAGGAACGGGTGTGAGAGCGAGGGAAAAAGCAGCTACCGAAGATAAACATGGATGAGAAAGGGAGTTGAAGCGTGATTCTAGAGGGTTATGAGCGGCTAGCCCAGCCCGGCGAGAAACCAGCCTCAGTCACCATTGACCTCACACCACAACTCCAAGCTGATAGGACCAACATCCAGATCCTCATTTAATAATGCCGGTCTGATGATTTCCCGATTCAGACGAGAGATACATGTTGCAATTTGACTCCTCAGACTTCCAGCCGCTGCCGCAACAACCAACACGCGCCCACGCGCTTCTAACACAGGGGCTCTGATCATGTCATCAGCGGCGGGCCGGTGCAGAGAAAAATTTAAGGAGCATCCGCTGGGTAATTGTGTAAACGCAAAAGAGTATTGGTCCAAGTCCGACAGTGGATCATCTAACAGGTGCTTCTCGTCTTCGCGTTCTTCGTCTTCGCTATCAGTCGAGGTTTGTGCAAAAGCTGCGGAAGCTTCTGCATTCTCTGTACCAACCACGACAATAGAGGGTAGCCTGTCAGAGTGGAGGTTTGGTCCACAATCCAGCTTCATGGAAGGTTTATTTCTGTCAAGCTGGCTCATGTCGACTTCAGGGTGACAGTCCGTTCTTCCCCGATCAGGTCGATCACAGGTTTTCCGATTTACTGCAGCTGCAGAAGGATGCAGTGCCCGTTCTTCGATCAAGGCTATAACGGAAGCCTCACTTGGGTTGCAAGATGTAAAGTGCCCTTGAACTTCGATCTCCGTTCGATGAAGCCGCATAGATTTGAGAGAGGCCGAAATTTGAGCCAAATACCAGTCGGTCTCAGTCAACGTCCGAGACACCAAATGTATGTAGATCCGTGGTACATCAACGCTTGTATTGACCAGCTCTTGGAACAGTGGCAAAATGAATGATGCCCGGTTGCCCGTAGCGATCAGAACGACCGTATCATAGCCTGCGAGCTGAGGTGGATTTCCATAGGGCCCGTTGAGGAAAACTGTAAAGGATTCGGATGACTGATCCTGTCCCCAGCGAAACAGGTCAGATGTAAAACCACTGTGTGGTTTGATGATCAAATCGACGTTCTTCGCTGATCCTGACTCACCTGGAAGACTTGCGATGGTAAATGGATGTGACTCAACTTTACGTAGGTGAGGTACAGTGATATATATGTGTTGACCGGCCTTCCAACCAAATGAGACATCTCGAACGCTGAGATGGATATATTTGTCGTCCAGGAGTCGAACTGTGGCGTTGTATCCGACCGCCTGAGTTTCATTTTTGGCTTTAAAAGGGTGAATGTTGTGCATCGTCCATAAAAAAGTCCTTCCAAGTAGATCAAAAGCGATGAATCCAATGGACGCGAGTACAAAAAACGTCGTGCAATGGGTGTGCGTGTAAGTTAGCCACAAGCCGAGATAAGCAGAAAGAACGTGTACCAAGAGCCAAATTTCATAGTAGGAGTTTCGAAAGAAGCCAAAACTCGTCATCACCATGAAACCAAACATTCCCCAAGCGGCAAAGCCCCAGACGACCATGGGCATAATCTCAATCTCCTGCTGAACAAAGTTTGTGAGATCCCATTCGCGATAAAAGAAAGCCCAGTGTACAATAAGTGTGACAAAGACCGTTCTGGCAGCCCATCGGTGAAACCAGTTCAGCCTTTCATGTGAAATACCGGTCAGAAGGCTGATAGGATTGATTCTGCAGCCCGTACAATAGACCAAGGGGAGTTGTGTAGTTGAAACCCATGCTGCTCGATTTCCCACGACTTCTAACTCGATACCGTAGATAGGTGATTGAGATTTGAAAATCACATTGGTCCATAGCATGAGAAGCAAGAGGATCCAGTATCCACAGAGGAAGAGTATCTCTCCCACGGGAGGAGGAGACAAATATCTGCTCCAGCCGGTGGTCCACCCCATCTGTCGGTAGCCAAAACTGCGATACAACGCTTCAAGAAGAGCACTGTATCGAAGGATGGAACAGACAGGGCTTGAATTCTCCAAGATCGTCTTTCTTCTCACCCATGCTGGCCAAAAGCTAGCGTGTGTCAGTGCGACCACACCGTGATCAAGAGCGGAGAGTTAACACACCTCCACTTACGCTTGAAGACTGAGATCAAGCGTCGCACAGCAATGAAAATCACAACAGCAAGCACAATGTACCAGAAAAGAATGCGGAGAAACTGGTTGACAACATGTTGATGTTCAGATGCGGCGGAGCCGGCGTGTACGTGTCGCTTCATGGGCTCGATTTTCGACATTGTGTCTTTTCGCATCAGGCATTCCCCTCCATGGGGTGGGAGATGTGAAGCTGAACTTGATTTCAGGTGAATTCAACGCAAATGTCTAACGTTTCAATTGAAGAGCCGTTCGATGACAAAAGAGGCCGGAATTGACATCCTGGCCAAGTACTAGGACATACTACCCGCATTGTTCCCGGCCTCGACCTCAAAATTTGCTCCAAAGCGTTGTTGTCTGCCTGTAGGGACCAAGGATAATCCTCAAAACATGCTCACCACTTGATCAACCAATCGAGATGTATGGCGCCATTGCGAGACCCACCCCCAGACCGAATCAGGTTAATATAATTGGAGGCCTTCTTGGCGAAGCATGATCCCCTTCGTCGTATTCTTTCCGGAGGACAGGAACACGCCAGCCCGTCTTTTTTCCTGCATTCGCAGGGAATCGTTATTATTTATCCAAGTCTTCAGCTTTATTTATGGATTCAACAAGATATGGATTACGCTGAGAGAGTCATTTGAGTACACTCGAGGATTCGAAGATGGCCGTGGAGAGTCACGCCCTGCCCAGGATCAAATACTCTCTATCCGACTGTTCCCATACTACTTTGAGTTCGGAAGTCATCCCTTCCCAGCGGTTGTACCACAAAGTCTAGTCCCAGCCGGCAGAACGCAGATTGGTGAATTTTTCAAAGTCGGTTCCATACAAGACGAAGACTGACAGTGTAGGTGCGCTGGAGAGGAACTGTAAAACCCTCCAATACGGGTCAGATTATGCACTTTCATCACAACCGCCGTCATAATACCCACATCACGAATCTGAATGAGTCCCTGAAAGAATATGCAAAAGAACCATCTCGCGGTAACCTGATTAAGCAGCTTGGACCACAAACCAACCATCAAGATCCCAAGTGCTTGACCTCTTCAAGCTTAACCGGTCCGTTCGGTACCAGACGGGGCAGAGGAAAGACAATTCGAGCGCGCTGTAGGCCCCCTCAGCGCGCTAGAGTGTTCGAACCTTTGACTTGACTACATATAAGCCTCCCTTTGTTAACTTAGTCCTGTACTTAATGAAAACTATAATGCTGCACGGGAAGGGAGCAAGTTTCTTCAAGGATGTGGCACTGGCAGATTATTGAGCAGATTCTTGTCAAAAGGTGCTCACCAATCTCCGCCTCCGCCACGATAAGCCCAATTGGAATGAGGGGGGTTAGCGGCGCAAGCGAATGTATGTATGACAGCAAAGTGACCCAGCTCTCCCCCGTTGCTATAAGTGATCACAACTTCGCATTCTCAAGCACCCTATGCCGCCGCCAAAGTAGTCCCGTCCACAAGACCATCGTCGCAGTATTCAATTTAGATTCCAGGACCGCAGATGATTAGAGTACAAGCAGAGTTACCGGCCCTAAATAAGTGTCATTCGTTTCATGAGGGGCGGATTTATTCGTGAACCTACCACGGCTTCCACATTCTTCCCTTTTCCTCCTGCCACATGCTCAGCCAAGTAGATTCCAGCGACCGTGTCGACCATGTCGTTGATATTGCTTCTCGCCTTTGCGGCCCTTACATGCGCCGCAGGAAACGCAACCTCGATTATTGACTACCTGAACGACAATGACAGCACCTCGACCTTCGCCTCATACTTGGCCAAATATCCAAATTTATCAAAAACGCTCGCCAGCGACAACATCACGGTTCTAGTACCCAAAAATTCTGCAATCAATGGAGTCGCCAATATTTCCGAGGCGCTCTTGACCTACCATGTCCTGGCCGGCGTCCATCACTCAATCAACGCTGATGCGTTCCAGTATATCGAAGCATCCCCCCAGCCCGCTGACACCGATTCTTCTGAGAACAAAACCCGGATAGTGGTTGCTCGCGGAAATGCATTTTCCTCCGCTGTCACTTTCTGGTCCGGCAACAGTCAAAAGAGTCGTTCAGATGCGCCGGCAGTCAACTGCACCAACGGCGTGGTTTATACCTTGTCAAGCGTGCTCGAACTACCCCAGAGCTTCGACGACAGCTACAACCACAGTGCGTTGACCGGCCCACCCTCGCCATTTCTAGACGCTAAAATTCATGCACGCAACAGTTCGGCGCAAATCATCAACGAGGTATCCAACGTGACTATTTTTCTTCCTATTTCATACGCGTGGGATATGATTGGAAGCGTCATCAGCAATTGGACAGAGGACGAATTTCTCGATATTGTCTCCTATCACGTCGCTCGGCGGGTTTTTTTGCTTAACGGACTACCGTCCAAAGCGATCACTCTCCCGACGCAGGAGGGCACTGACTTGACTATCACGTCGTATGAAGGCGACGCGTATGTGAACAACGCCAAGATTGTCAGCGAGCCTGCTCTAGTATTCGACGGCGGTCTCATCTACTCGATATATGGGTATGTATTGAATCCCAGCAGCGACCAAGCAAGTCGACTGTTTTCTGCACTTTCTCTTCCCAATCGCTCGTCGGCCAGCGACTGACTTCTCGATCTCGCTACAGAGTTCTCAACCCGGCGAATCGAACCGCTGAGCCAAGTTCAGATCCCATCGGTGTCGCCTACGCAGGCGCGTCGTTTTCGACGAACTTTACGTTCCCAGACAATGGCTCAAAGAGTAGTGGCGGTGGCACAGGCCTCTCTCTCGGCGCAAAAATAGCCATCATCCTCGGGTCGGTCATAGCAGGGGTTTTCTGCCTCTTGGTAGGCGTCTGGTTCTGGCACCACTGGCGGGCAAAGCATGGGGGAAGCGGAGTCATCTCAGCGCGCAAGGCGACCGTTGTCGATGGCAATGCGTCGCAGAAACATTTGGCGCGCTGTGACTCGATGGAGCTGACAAGCTATGGAGACTCTGTACACACTACGCGATAGGAACAGATGGCGTACGGCAAGTATCAAATGACTAGCTGGCGGAAGTATATTGCATGTTATGTCGCTGGCAAGAGTCGCGCGCTTGATCGTCACTTCCAGCCTACTATAATGAAGAGCACAGTGCCGGTATGAGAGGATCGAAGACAACAATCGCCTATGCTGTGCCTGAATTGCCCAAGATACATTATACCCTAAAAATATTTGATTCACTTGTTCACCAGCCGCATTCACACCGTCCATTGCTAGAGTCGCGTCGGCTTTTGCGAACAAAAAAGACCGAAACCCGTGTCACTGAGCCTTGAATCGGTCAAGTGGGCGTAAGTATGTTTCTGTGTCTGTCAAAATTCCCTGACTCTGTGAGCGATGCGTGCTCTTCGCCAACGAATGCCCTGTGTTCGTAAGTAATGGCATATCTCTGATCAAGAGGGTTGCCCGGGTGTATGATATTACTCCGAAGTCAAGGTCACCGCAGAGATAGCCCTTAGCAAGCGAAGTAGCCAGAAGCTCTCCAGTAGACCAAAATGGTCGTGACAGTAGACGTACTGAAGACTTGGTGGTGATCGGCGAATATAGATGTTGAGATTTCTACCTTGAGTTCGTGCTCTGGCAGAATCTGTCTTCGCAATCCATCCTGAATTTGCGATTCCGAAGGAAAACGAAACGTCATTGCATATACGAGGTAGATAAGACCTTTGTCGTATCGTTTTGGGCAGATGTGCGGCTTTCGCTCTAGCTTCAGCCTATCCCACTCAACCTACAGAGGATAGTTGCATATCCATCCCATGTGCGTTATCACGCTAATGGATAGAAAACTTGCTCATGTGTGGGCGACTCTTTTCCGTCCCGTGAATGATCTCGCTAACGGACAAAACCTGCTCGACGTAACCACGACTATTTTGCTGGGCTTGTAGTACCAGGCGAGATATCACAGAACCCTCGAATTTATCTTCTCGGAAACAATACCTTATCCGCCCCATCATCCCCGTGCAAACAGTCAACAACGAAATTGTTATATAACTTTGAGATCAGCAAATTGAACACTTAGGCGAACGTGGGCCAATACAAGACTTCGACAGAAGAAGCTTCAGCAGCCCAAGCAGCCTCATATATAGAGGCAGAAGCACGAAATGGCTTCCGAAAGGTCTCCTACAGGCACTTATCCTACAATTGATACTGAGACGAAAGCGATTAGCAGTGTCCATCAAGCGGAAGATGGTTCAAACACCAAAGTCCACGACGGCTTGGACATAATTCATGGCAATGCACCTAACGACAACTCCATCGACACCAATTTTCAGGCTGGTGTGCAGAAGGCCGAGGCCACAACAATTAGTTGGACAAAATCTACTTTAGTCACGGCTTATGTCGCAATCTGGCTTGTCTACCTTGTCCAAGGCATTGTGACGGGAGTCAGTGGTGCCTTGCTCCCCTACGCGACTTCAGCCTTTGCTCAACATTCACTTATTCCCACCACTGGAGTTTTGAGTCAAGTGGTTGGCGGTGTCACAAATTTGGGTGTCGCGAAAATCCTGGACATTTTTGGACGTCCACACGGATTTCTACTATGTGTATTTCTGTGTACTGTTGGCCTGATCATGTCAGCCGCTTGCAACAACGTTGAAGCATATGCGGCATCGCAAGTCTTTTACACTGTCGGGATCAACGGTGTCGGATACTGCCTCAGCGTCTTCATTGCGGATACGTCGTCACTTCGCCATCGCGGTCTCATGCAAGCTTTGCTCAATTCACCATATCTCATCACATCATGGATTGCAGGCCCCATCTCGACATCATTCTTGAATGGAGCCGGTTGGCGCTGGGCTTTCGGAATGGAAAGTATTCTCCTTCCAGGAGTTACTCTACCCCTTTTTGGGCTCTTCATGTGGCAATACATGAGGGCTAAGAAGCAGGGTGTCTTTCCAAAACACAATCACGACGAACGTACACTATGGCAATCTGCTGTATACTATGCACACGAGTTTGACCTGATTGGACTTTTGTGCATATCTGGGGGTTTTGCCTTCTTCCTCCTCCCATTCAATCTTTACACTCAGCAAGCCAAGGGCTGGGGATCTGCCCTCATTATATGTTTCCTCGTCTTTGGAATAATCTTACTCGCAGCTTTTGTACTGTGGGAAAGGTCTTTTGCTCGTGTCCGTCTCACTCCATGGGCAATCCTTAGAGATCGAACGGTCCTCGGCACTTGCGTCACAGCATTTATGCTCTTTTTGAGTGTTTCTTGTTGGAACGGGTATTTTAGCTCGTTTCTTCAGGTGGTCAACGGTCTGACTGTGACTGAAGCAAGTTATCTCATACAAGGAGGCACGGTTGCCCAGATTGTCATGAATCTTGTTGCCGGATCAATCATCTCATACACCGGACGCTACAAACCTGTCAGTCTCTGTTTCGGCTTTCCTCTGGTGGTCCTTGGTACGGGTCTGATGATACATTTCCGTCACCCTGATCATTATGTGGGCTACGTTGCCATGAGCAACCTTTTTGTCAATCTTGGATTCGGCATCTTGATGCTCACGGTCGAGATTGGCATTTTGGCGGCCGCTTCTGCACAGCAATACTTTGCCGTCAGTATCGCCTTGCTAAATCTCTTTGCTTACATTGGCACTGCCGTGGGTTTTACAATCTCCTCGGCCATCTGGCAAGGCACGATGCCCGAAAAGCTCGCTTTGTATCTTCCTCCTGAGAGCCAAGGGAATCTCACCACAATCTATGCCGACATTCAACAACAGTTATCTTACGAGTGGGGCACACCTGTCCGTTTGGCAATTCAGAGATCTTATGGAGACACATGGCGATACTTGCTGATTGCTGGTGTCTCAACTTGGGTCGTGGGGTTGATGGCGATTCTCATGTGGAAAGACATGAATGTCAAAGGCATAAAACAGAACAAGGGCTATGTCGTGTAGCTTTCGACTTGGCAGACCTTACAGTACCGACACAGTGAAGGAAGAAGAGGTAGCGGTCAATCATACATGAGAGCGTGTCGAGCAGATACACACGGAGTCGCGGAGCTCAAATGGTGGACTTGAGAGTAGTCCGACACCGCGGTGATGTGCAGCTGCGACATAGTTTCCTGATTTGTACGACAGCTGTTAGTGCCAGTGAATGTGTGATATAGTTGCTCATGCTTCTCGCGAGAACCCAGAGGCTTTGCTGAAGAAGGAGAGCTTGAGCGTTCTCGAAAGAGAGGCAAGAGGTTTTATTGATGATTTCATGGCTGACGGGCCACCTCCCCGTGAAGAATATCGGTGAGTCATTCACCATATCATGTGGGAAGCGCGGCTTGTTGTTGCTTGACATTGTTATTGCTACCTCATCTGCGGCATAAATTGCTCGGAGTGCAGTTCGTTCGTTGTGATACCACGATTTCCATCTCTGGACCTGAACGTGGCCCTGAGCCTCGCTGCTTCAACCTGAGACGCTTCTGCACGTGACTGATGATGGTGGATCAATTGCGCCCACAATCTAGGCCAGGGGGGCCCTGTTCCCGGCACCACACCCGCCTATATTTGCCGATTTACGCCTCTCTCCTGGCCTACGGTACCCATAACTTAATAGCACTGGTGGCACCCGATTCGGAAGTCCACCGGTCCACCAAGGTTTTCGCTCAGCACAAGGCGAGGGTGGCGGCGATACTCGACAACCGGGTTCGACCAAATGCATTTTGGCTTGTCTCAAAGTATTGAGCAAGGCGCCTCATTTGTGCGTGCCGGAGGAATGGCAGAAGTCCCAGAACCTCCCATGGTATACTGCCGCTGACCCACACGAAACCCAAATGGTGTATCTGGTCCGCGCCATCAATCCCTGGGCAGGCAGCCGCCACCAACTGGACTCCAGACGTTCGACCTCATGGTGCCACACATGGCCCAGGCATGAAAATCATATTCGTGTTGATTGTGTACAGCGGCAAATATATATCAAAAATTGTTTCTATTGCCTAGAACCTTAGGGCTATCTGTTACCAGGAAGGCAAGATCATCTGGCAGGTGATGGCCCGGAGAGACATTTGGGCCTGCAAATGTAATCGTGTTCGCGCTCAACTCACCTCACTGGATCAGCCAGGGCAGCAGCGATCGCCCCCCCGAATGCAGAAAGAACGATCTAGCAGGATGAGGAAGATCTGTAGAAAGGAGCCCTTTCGAGCACCCTTCTCTCAGAAAGCACTATTAGCTATCTGTCCCTGCGTTCTCTTGGCGCCCCCTGCGCTGCTTTAACGCGGAACCGAATCGTGCGCCGTCGGGGCCTCTTGAGGCCGTGGCATGACGCTCAAAAGGCACCCGAGAGGTCCCCTAGCCTGCAGACTAGCCCGGTTGTGGTAACTGGGCAGGGCAGGGCCCCGACGACCCTCTAGAGTCCCGGCCTTCTCAGTTCCAGGTCCCGTGTATTCAAGGATCCGTCATGACCTGGGAGAGGGCGTGGAATTCTCTTTTCCCGCTTAGTACCAGTAGTAATAGACCAATGTCTCCAGCGGCGGAGTCTTTCTGCAATCGAACCGGGGTGTGTCCCACGGCAGATTCTGGCCCTACTTTCTGGCCTTTGCTCAGGCAAGCTCATAGACACTCTGGCTTCGCGACAGCTCAGTGTCACAGGCTTTTGTGACAGACTTGACCGAAAATTCATTCTTCATGGCGTACCTGCGAATCTGATCTTGACCAATCACCACTGCAGCAATAGGTCCAAGGTAAATATGTTCCAATGCATTCTGATCCGATGGCCTTATAAGGTGCAGACACCTACTGCCTTGAAAGGAGACGACTCGGTCGTCGACGGTAGTAGAGCGAGGAACCAGCAGATGCAGGGGAGCTATCTCGAGATTAGACTCCTCGTCGGTGTAGTCTTCAACGTAAGCGAACACAAAATGATCGCTCGCAAGGTATTCTGCAAATTCCCCAGACATTTCTTCGTGCCTGACCAACGTATGTCTCAACTCAAACGTTGTCGCGGAGGATTGCACATTTGAGAACACAAAAGCATACGGTGGATTTTCGATCGATACAGAGAGTCCCATGGTTCCTCGGCGCTGCGATCCTCGCATGACTTCGTTGAGCGATATCGACCTTCCGTAAATCGGCTTGGAACGATCCTTGGGATGGGAAATATCTTTCTTGGCATCGATCCCGACAATCTGCTTTGCCACCTGCAGACCTCGGAGGTTCAGCTTGTTGCATTTGGCGTAGTCCTGCTGCAACACCGGGTCACCACGAGCCATCTCGATCGAGAAACTTACACGATACCTCGTTTCAATCCTCCGGAAGTCTATTTCCCATGAGGCTGTTTGATCATTCGACAAATGTTTGGGACTTCGAGGTCGAAAGACATCCAGAATTGCTAGGCTTTTTGTCGTGTTGATCAGAAACTTGACAACGTCTTGGTGGACCTGGTTGATAGACTTGCTATAATCAATAGGGAATTTGGCGGTTTGCGTCTCCAATTCCTCTGGGACTTGCGCGAAGAACTTGATTGATTGGCTTGTGAGGAGACCGAGAGCTCCGTAAATCCGATCTTGTGGCTCGGTAACTTGGAATAGTAGACCTTTCTCCAACACATCGAACCAGTGTCCCACAAAGTGGCGTCTGGTGTTGGGTGATTGAAAGTTGTCTCGGTCGCTTCCAAAGTGCTGATACTCGTTCTGATAGACACTCAAAGTTGTAGGCCACCGTTTGGGGGTGTCTGGCATCTGCTGTAGTAGGAGTTGTGCGCCGCCAACAAAGGTTTCGAAGTCCAGCTGATTAGAGCCCGCTTGGATGAATAACCTCTTAGCGGCAAATACTTCTTGCCGAACTAGGTGTAGAGACTGCTGTTAGCGCGAAGGGTTATACGCAGGAAGCTTCCAGCGAGCACTCCCCGTAGCTGATATATATATTGCGAGCAACTCACCCCATGTCCTCGTGAACCACGCACGCGCCAAGTGTGCGGACACATCGGTAGCGATGGTTTTGAGGTCAATTTGACAGCTTTCCCTATGGTTGCTCGTGGAATTTCGACGGGCAGAGTCGCTCATTAGACCAAGGGCCGCAAGAGCACGTCCAGATTCCGGCGCCGGCAGACCAATCCATGCCACTACCTTGTGAGCCTTCTCGAAAATTCTGAGCATATTTTGCACCTGTCTTGACTTTTCGGCCAGACTTTGCTGATTGATACAGATAGCATCACACCATATATATCGACTGGTAGATTTATCACGAAGATAGCTCAAGGCATGGCCCAGTTCTTTCGGGACACCAAACCTTTGATTGTTGCAAATGATTTCGCAAACAAGAGCAGGTTGGCCCCAGGAATAGGAAAGCGCATCGTATAGCACTGTATCATCGGTACCATCGATTCCGAGTCCTGGGCCGTCAATCAGATTCACGACGATCAGGTCACAGGTGATAGACGAGTCTGCATCGCCTGGGTGGAGGACAATCAAACGCGTCTGCCAACCGGTTAGAGTCTGGTAAGCCTTTGCGTTCTCGGTCGAAATTGAAATTTTCGCATCGTCGCCGAGATATGTTGGCGTCTTCGTGTCTATTGTCAAGGGAGTGCGCATTGCCTCTTTGACCCAACAGTTTAGTTCGCATTGGGGTAGTTCCTCCTTTGCAGAAGCATCACCGCTTGTCTCAGCCTTGGAAACTCTGCTTTCGCGGTGGTCACCATTGTTGATTGCTTTGGGCGTCTCAGCCCCAGCTCTCCGTCGAGCATAAAGCAATCTTCGCATGGCAAAGGACGAAGGCCGAGTTTTTAGTTTGTTTTTAAATGACACCAGGAAGGTATGGAATCGATATACATATCTCTTGTAACATGCAGGGAAAGCAGAAGACGGGGTCCGGTTGACGTCGGAGCTTCGGGAACTTATTCTTAGGCTAAACTACAGTAAGCGGCTTGGCGGCTTGGCGGCGCAGATGATCGCCGCGAGATCGTGCTGGCCTGACCATGGCCGCCATGCTGCAATGTCTGATTTTATTGTTATGTCGTGTACTCTCCCGGTCTTGCATCCCACATCCGCTTCGTCGCATTCCATGCTGCTTGTACTCTGGGCTCCTAAGCCAGCGCATATTTTGAAGTGCACAGACCTCAGTTTCTTAAGGCTTCAAGTTCTACCTCGGTGAGAGAATAGAGCTCAGTTACGATGTGTACGTGGTCGATGACCTCCTCAATCGCTAGGCCTTTTGAGAATCTAACGTGTTGATTAGCGGCTTCTCTTCTTCGAAAGCAGTTTTCGAAGACCACCTCCCAGACGAGTGTGCATATGCCCGCTGTGAATGGACCCCTCTCAGACCCTCATGAGAGAACCTCCCTATTGCCCCGTATCACGAGTAGTGAAAACGTACCATTTCCATTGCGACAAGTGGGATGGCTATGTGCCCCCATTTGGCAAGTGTTGGGTGGACGATATCTTCATGCCTTAATCATCTTCTTTCCCCTCGCGTGTGTTGCAAACGCCGCGGAATGGGGTTCAGCCTCACAGCTTGCTTTGAATTCTTTGGCGATGATCCCGCTGCCATCCATCGTGGAGACTTGCACTCTTGAATTAAGTGCAACTCTGAACCCTGTCCTGGGTGGCATTCTCCATGCGACTTTTGCTAATACGACAGAGCTGGTAGTGAGTACCTAGTTCTTTTGCTCGTGGGAGTTACACTAATTTGCCTCAGCTAGGTCTTGTGGCGCTCAGATACCACGAACTGCAAATCGTACAAGCCACTATCCTTGGAAATATCCTGCTGAACCTTGTATTCTTTACTGGCTGTTGTTGCTTAGCTGGCGGCCTCAAATTTCGACATCAAGACTACAACTCCTTCATCGTCTCCCACTTGTCCATTTTTGCCGTCATCCTAATTGGCATTCTGATAATGCCAACCGCGCTGGCCTCGACGACAAGTTCCCCCCCTGCCAACGGGAAGCTACATGGACACGATGGAAGTCTGACCCTGGGATTAGCGATCGTTTTGCTGTTAGTCTATTGCGCATATCTTTACTTCCAGGTCTCGTCTCATGCCGACCTGTTCGATGACGACGAATTTTCTACGGAAGTGGAAGAAAGCGACGACATTTTGCACCCGCTGCCAACGGGCATTTTGCTGTCTTGCTCAACTTGCTTAATTGTACTCTATACACACAACATCCTGAACAGCATTCCGGGGATGGTAAGCGATTTTGGGGTAAGCAAAAACTTCATCGGCTTCATCATCTTTCCAATTATTGCGAACGCGTCCGGTCTTGGACCACACATACTCGTGGCTCGGAAGAATCGTCTGCCGCTTGCCTTTGGCTGCATATTAGCGACGGTCATACAGATCATCCTATTTGTGGTACCGGTCTTGATCATTGCTGGACAGATCGCTGGTATGGATGAACTGAATATGGCTTTCGACCCCGTTGCAGCGATAGCAGTGTTCATCGCGTCTCTGATTGCGGTCCTACTCCTTCAGAGTGGCTTGTCAACATATTTCGACGGCATACTTCTTCTGGCGTTGTATTCCGTCATTGTAATGACTCTTTATGACGTTACGGAGCCTGAGGGGCTAGGACCGCCATAGGACTTTGCCAGGGATCCATTTCAGGTTACTGTGCCGCTCCATACCCATCACTCAGAAGCCGCTCCACATGCCGCCGGCCAGTACCTAGGTCTCTAGACCTCTACCGAGCCGTCTAAGCGCTCCGACGACGAACGTCATGCTATTTGGACAGCAAGGTCTGGGATACTTAAAATAATTATGATGGGCGTGGCCTCGAAGCGGAACAAGGCGATGCCGCTCTTTGCGTCTTGGAGCCCGGGAAATCGCAAATGTGTCACCAGTCAAAGGGTTCATTTCACGTCCAATCTCAACTGTGCTTTTCTTTCTGACCATACCCCAAATTCCGTTATTCGGACTCATGACGCTCTGGATCTCCTCCTAGTGTGCACTAAAATGATACGCCTTAGCGTGGCGCTGACCAAAACTGTGTGAAATTGTGCCTCGGTCAGACGAAAGGTACGCCTCTTGCCCAAGCAAGTGACGCGATCTAGACACTACGGGTCTCGAGTTGTACAGACGGAAGCTGGTGTCTCGGCTCGTGCAACACCACAGAATGCTACGCAGACCACGCGGCTTCTTCCTCATCGAGTGCTACGGCTCCACCATTCTCGTCGACTAACACTGCCTCGCAGTCAAAGGCTTCGCATTCTCTTCCGACAGGTTCACAGGCAGGCATTGGTGTGTCGACGTCAGCGCAGTCGGACTCGTGGTCATAAAATGCGAAGCCTGGGCCGTGCGCACGATACGCGAGGCTGCCCGGAGCGACACCGGGTAGGTTCAAGCCACGTGGGCAAGGTCGCCTGTTCTGGGACTGCGCCCCTTCAACCTGTTCAAGCCGCATTTTCCACTTTTGCTGAGCAGATTCTTTTCTCTTATTTCCTCCACCAGCTGGCTTGAGACAAGCAGCCTCCGCTTCGGGTTGATTATAGGCAAGAGCTGTCACACGGGTGCTTCGCCCTTCGATCAAGAGGGATTAGTGCGGCAATGATGAAAAATGCAAGAGCGCACGGCGTGTCTCTAAACGGAGGGCTGATTGCAGGTGGGACAACGGGGGATGGCATTTCAGTAAAAGCAGTCTTTTTCTCCCCTTCACTTCTTACTTTCTGTCCTTTACACCGTTTTTGGGGCCCTCGTTAAAACTTGACAGCCTGGAGGAGGGACGACTTTTGGGCCACTGCCCCGGTGTGGTCAGCAACAGCCGAGCCTGAGCCACCGTTGAGCCGGACGCGAGCCAGCCTGAGCAAAAGCGGCGCGAGGTCACGTGGGATGGGTAGGAGACGGGCGTCGAGATTCCGGTGCTGAAACAGAGAGTTCGACGTCGGAATCTCGACAGGAGTACTTTCCATTTCCATCTTGCGCCGGAGCACGACTTGAGGCTCGCCGTTTCAACCTAAGGTGTTGACCCACGTGACTAATCACGGTGTCAGTTCGGCCTGAGGAACGGATCAATCGTGCCCCAATCGGGGCCAGGGGGCCGTGTTCACGGCACCCGCTTATAATTGCCAATTCACCTCCGGACAGTGTCCCGGCAGCACATATTCATCTCATCCCTGCGACGTGGGAGACCTCGTCCTTCCCACCTCTCGCATTATACCAATACACCTACTTAAAATGTCGATTATAACAAGACCATAGAAAATATACAACAATGCCCCAGCAATAAGTACTGTAACACTAGTGGCATAAAGCCAAGATAAGACCATTTCCACCGCAAAGAAATTAAGACTGATCATGAAAAGAAAAATCAAGGTTGAAGCTGTCAATGCACCCACGTGTTGATCCTGGGTCAAACAAATTTCCGCCGTCAGAATTAGCTCATTGGTGTTCAGTTCTGCTGAGTGATTGCTCTTTTTTTTGAGTTCTGTAGTCCAATTAGTCATTGAACATGGATTCTTGATCACTCATCGGTCGCTTGCCGTAATATGACTCTGCTGCACTTATGAGAGGCAATGCCAACAAGAGAATCGCAACCAGTTGACCAAACGTCATTTCTGTCTCACTTCCGATTACAGAATAGGTCAAGCCAATGTTGACATCCCCAGCATCAGGATTCCAACCCCACCGAGCAACATACACTTGCGTTATCCCAAATACGTTACCAAAAATCATCCACTCAATTTCCCACATGAAGGATTCCGTGAACAGATTCCATAGTGCATAAGTTGAGAAAAAGGTTTTCTTGATGTCGGCCGCAAATCCTTGGAGCCTGTTTGGGCGTCGGGGATTACCAGCCACAGCGTTGTGGCCACTGGGAGTTGTGTTGTTATTGGTTAACGTCGTTGGCACGGAGCCGCTACTTCTCAGTCCACAAGCCTTTCTGATACTTACGTCTACCAATGTAAGAACAGATGTTGATGGTGGCGCTGCAAGAAGGCGGATGAAACTGTTTCCGTATGTAAAGATGAGGAATATTAAGATCGTAGACCATATAGATGCATTGAAGAACGAATAACGTCCGTCTTCGGCGGCACTGCTAAGATACGGCAACCCCACAGTAAAGGTGCACTGAATTGGCAAGGAAAAGATAGTGTACCATTGGGTGTATAACTGGGCGTGAAATAGCATTCCGAGTAGGCATATCATACCTATCATGCGCCAGACCTTCAACACGGGATGGTTTATGAGGTAATAGCGTAGAATGGCCAAGGTTGAGAGATGGGTTGTCGAAGAAAACCAAGCTAGGTTCGCAATAATAACAAAGTGGTACCCTGAAATCTCGCATCGTTGTGAGTATCCCGTGATTAGAATGGCCAAGCCCGTGACGAGCTGTTGGTCGCTGAGAGTCAGAATGAATCCAGTGAGCACTCTATTCCGATTTTCCATCGTAGCTGTCGAGATGTTGGACCCATCGCCCATCCTCAGGAAACGACGGAGAGCAAGTATGGTAGCCATGTCGAAACCATTGTATAGATTTTTGTCGATCGAGAACGTAAAATAACCAACAACGATAGCAACGAAAGTGATGATTGAAGTCGTAAGGAATGCCACCAAGACCTGAATTTTTCAATCTTAGATGAGTTATGAAAGTTTCGAGGAAAGAAGATCGAAGAGGGAGCGTACTCCGATCCCAGCCACGTCAGGGTTTGCTTCCACCGTGCCATCAGAATATGTGCAATTTATTTTGCCATCGTAGCATGAGAGGAGCCGATTCGGGATCCATGGACTGTTCCCACTGGTGGCCATGATCAGATTTCAAAGTTTTTCGACTTGCTTCAATGGTGCCGGTAAATTTGAATCATGTGAGTGGAAATATGCAGACTGCTCAAAGTTTTGTACTCTGCAGTGGGGTCGAACCGAATATATCTGCTGAGGCCTTCTGCTCCCTCAGCCGCATTTCAAGGTTAAAGTAATGCCCGCCAACAAGGAGTGTCGGGGCGTTGCTGAAAGCGTGGCTGAGACCTGTAGCGAGAGGGGCGGCTGGTGGACGAAGACATCGACAGCTGAACAATCCCATAGGCTACTCATTTCGTATTCTTCAGCCTGATTCCCTGACAGTCCAGGCACCGGACAAGTTCACCAAGACCACTGATAGCGTAAAGACGTCGTTGGACTATGTGTTATAGGGGCGAAAAACTGGTTTCAACTCTAGTTGTGGGCACAAGTCCAAATATAGAACAGCGAATACCAAAGGACAACATTTTGCACCTGAGTTTAGTCCTACCGCAGCTGTAGCTTTGTGTTCAAGGCCAGCCCAGTCGCACAGAGGGGGATCTCGGCTCGAGATCATTGCATGAACTAGTCATGGGTACCAGTGGAAGTGGTGGTGGTGACGGTCTACGGCTGAGACGCTGCCAAAAAGGCCCTGGGACTTTTGTGCAACGTGGTGCATTAAAAGAGCCACGACCCTGACCAGAAGGTGGTCCACCTTGTCTTTTCGGCAGGCAGTGGCAGGCAGTGGCAGGCAATGGACACGAAATGGTGCAAATTATTTGCCCTGAGTTGACGCCTTCGCTAGCCTCACTTGTTGCTGGGCGCATGACACGAACCTGTCAGTGAGTGGCTGGAGCTCGCATCAGGCAGAGTCTGTGGCCCCCACGAACAGGCCAGCGAGAAACTGTCCGTGCATTTTAAAAAGACATTGTGAGGCCAACAGGGACGAATACTCGTGCATGTCGATGCCGCGAGTGGTACATTAGCAGTGGGTGGTTGAGTGGAATGAAAATTTGTCTGACTGAGTAATAATGGATGGCACGTGTGGCGCGTGTGAGTAGCCACGTAGCCCACTCACTACTCGGTACATATATAGATAAGTGACGGCTCTAGTGGTTGACATAACAGAGAATAAATAACCTAAAATCAGCAAGTATATTTGGATAAACTCTGCGTCTTTATACCCCTGCATCCAGCTAAACTTGGTGTCTATGTACAGTTGCCTAGACACGAAGCCAGCATTACATCCCACCAAACAACATGCCATCGTAGGAAATGGGAAGTATAAGCCCAACAATCACATGTTGACCAACATCTCCACCCCCAAATCACTCTAGAATCCCTTCTTCTCGGCCACATCATAGTCGCCAAACTCGTCAGGGACAATAACCAAGTTGTCCGAGCGATACGGATCCACCTTGACTTGCCTGAATTTGCGGGCAGAGACTTTATTCTCAAACAAGACATCGAGCTCGGCGTAGGTGAGACCCTGGGAGGGAAATGTGAGTAGTCTGGCTGGCAAACAGGATCAGCAACGTACCTTTGGTTCTGGTAGACGGAAATAGGTCCAGATCAAGCCTAGCAGGTTAAGACCGCCCCAAAAGAAACAAGTCTTTCCACGCCAGCCCCAGGCTGTCGGGTTCATCATGCGAGGCTGAAGCGTCCCGACCACAATACCCATGATATTGTACACGTTTCGGGACAGGACGACAGTCTTGATCCGAAGTCGAGTGGACGGAAGCTCAGCCACTAGCGAATAGCAGACTGGGCCAACCGTAAAATCGTAGATGAAGGTGAGGATGAGAATCAAGGCACCCGAAGCCCAACCGATCGAGGTAGACAGGTTTGGAACTCCAAGACCACCAATAATCATCAATATGACAAACATGGCCAGTTGTCCGGCGAGATACAAAGTGCGACGACCAAAGTGCGGCATCAAGAACCAGGAGAAGACAGTCCCCAGGAACCCCATGGCACTCTGACCAACGCCGAGAGAATATGCATTGCTTTCGCTCAGGCCGGCTTGGATCATGAAATAGGTTCCCCATCCGATCATGGGAGATCCAGACGTCTGTTGAATCAGCCATGTGATGCACGTCACTTCAGTTCGTCGCAGGTCAACGCCCTTGAAGCAATCCCAATAATTAGTACCCGCAGTCTGCTGGATCTCCAGCTCGTTGGTGTGGATCATCATGGCCAATGTATCTTCCACGTTGAACTCGGTGTTCTTTTTCGACGTCAATTTGAGCAGGGCGGCCCGAGCCTGATCCAATTTGCCGTGGCGGACAAGCCACCATGGGCTCTCGGGTGCAAAGAACGCAGCTGTGGCAATGGGCAACGGCCATATCCACTGGATCGCATAGGGCACTCGATAAGCCCATTGATCGGACTGGTTTACGAAGCCCTTAAGCACTCCAGCAGCAATAAGCTGTCCAATGACCCAGCAGAGGTTGACGTAGGTAGTCAAGTATGGCCTCAACGGGACTGGTGTCACCTCGGCGGCATACGTGGTAGTGAGAGTTTGGAAAACCTGAGGGACTAGGTCAGCAATTGTTGCCTCGAAGCATGTTGCCCCATGGCGAGAACGACACCAGAAGTATCAGCAGGGGATTCAAACTCACCCCCCATGGGAGACCGGACAAGATGTAGCCAGCGAGTAACATCTGCACATCGACGGCGAAGAAGGTGATGAAGATGGTGGCAGTAATAAAGGCCAGTGCGCCGATCATGGTCCAGCGGTATCCGATGCGCTCGGAGATGATGCCGTTGAGAAACAGTCCGATGATTTGAGCGGCAGCAGTACCATTTGTGAGTGCCGACTGCCATGTCGCCGAAACCTGGTAGGTTTGGACGCCATCGACGATTCCGGCGGGCGACCCATACTTGCGAGAAAATGTGGTCAACCCGAAGAAATTGCCGAGGAGGTATGTATCGTATCCCTCCATGATGACGGCGAGAGAAAGACAGAAGGAGAACATGATGGCTTTAGGATACAACCGGCAGCCCTCACGAAAGCCCATCTTGTGTTCCAATTCTGCGGCAGCTTTGGCATCGGCAGAGAGCTCCGCCAAGTTGGGCACCGCCACTGACATCTTGCGGAGTGTTTCATCCTTCTGGTTGAAAACTGCCTCTTCTTGTTGTGCTGCTACAGCGGCAGCCGGCACAATAGAAGACCTTCGTCTGGTTGTGTCGTAGGTTGGTGCCCCCATATTGCTGGCATAGTGGGAGACACTCATGTGGCGACCAGCACGGCCGCCGCCACTCTCTTCGTCATGCGCGAAGCTCATCGTGAGAGGTGGTAAGGTTCAGTCAAGGGAATAGGCTTGTGAAGCACGCAACCTCGGTGGTTGCCGTTCAAACAATCGAATAGTTTGGTCACCGAAGTACCTGGCCTGTGGTCGAGGGAGACGAGTCCAAGGAGAAAGGGTTTACTCAGGCAGATATATACTGCTGTGCCTGGGTGATCGAGCTTCCCTCCCTCTGGTGAACCCAATGACGCACTGATTTCTCTAGACAGCTAGGACAGCAGTAAATCATAGCTCTCAGTCGTATCGATGCTTGCCAATAGTAAAGGGGACATCCGGAGAAATTCCCAATCAGCGCAACCCAAATCAGTTGGGTGCTCGCATGATCGAGGTACGAGTTACCCAAATCAACGTTGTTGAGAATCCACCATTGGCTTGTCCAAGAGCTTCTTGAGCAAGGCTAAGCGAGCTTGTCAAGGTCAGACGGGTCAGCTGTTGCCGGCTCACAGACCAATCGATCCAAGAGCAAATGGTACCAAGAGGCTTGGATGGTCTCCAGAGCCTTCCCTTAAACGCAGGTAGAAAGGCAGACCAAAAGGAAAAACGAGGCGACGAGCGGTCGTTGGCTGACATGAATTAGCGGTGGACCAGGTGCTGGAGATCGCAGAAATAGCCGGCAAAAGAGTGGAGAGATTGCAAGCAGCCTCGCAATCCCATGTGCCACCCACCTACCTTGTTCTCCCTCTGGGGGCGCTACCGCGACCCTCCCTGATCACACACCTCCAGTGGGCCTGAGATGCTTACCAAAAATGGCCAGTTTAGACTCTCCCGGACGTGTCCCAGTTGCTGGTGTTGAGCCAAACCCCGCACTTCTTGCCAAAGTGCCCACTTATGTCAAGCCCCAGATCGTCTCCACAATGTCGATGGCTGGGGCATTTTAATGTCTGGATTTCCAACATGCTTCCGGTCCAATCTGACTCTGGGAGTCCTTTCCCCAAGCATTTTGATGCGGGCAAATGCTGGGCGCTTTGGGTGATCTGGGGGATCACACCTCTTTCCCACATTCCTCGGTGAGCTTCCGCCTACCCACAAACCTTTACCATACCCTTCTTTCGACTTAGATTCGCCTGACGTGCGTTGGAGGATCTGCAATTGAGAACTCCTCTAGATGTGCCGACTTCCGCATGGGATAATTGTGACATGCACACTCTGTAAACCAAATGACTCGGCAGCCATGAGTCTGTACTCCCTTCCGAGGCTGAAACACCACCAGCGAAATGGTAATCCTGGTAGAAAGTAGGGCTCTTTCTGTCAACCCTGGTCACCCAGAGACATGAACGAACCTTCAGCCTCGACTAGCTGCAGTAGGCCCGAGAAAAAGTCTCTTGTTGCATCGAGATTTGGCATTGTACTGGGTGAAATGAAAAACGTCACCACTTAGTCTGAAGGTACCAGTGGTTTGCGTCAAGGAAGTTGTAGGTACATGATTGCCGAACATCCCATGTTGCCTCTCGCTTACACTGCGTCTATCAAGTGACGATCTCCTCGTCACTCTGTCAGTGTGGTCCGAGCCTGACACAGCAAAGGACTGAATCAGGTCGGGCTAGGGACAAGAGTTGCGTGGGTGGCTTGGCCCTCGTATTGAGGAGGGGAAGCCGGTCGCATTTGAGGGAGGCCATGACAACATCCTCTTCTTCACCCAAGGCTCTAAAATCAGACGAGGGAAAACGGGTTCCCTAAGGCGTCAGCGTCTTGGACTCATTCTTGTGCCGCTGATGGTTCAGACCA